TTCCACTTGTTATTTGAGATCAAACAAACAATAAATTTATACAAGAAATGTTTTAATTTACCACGTATTCAGATCCCGCTCTGTTAGAACTGCTCACATCTAAACAATGTACGAAGAAAGATTAAAAATTTTGTCCTTTTTCAAGTGCTGCACAAATAACTTGTAAACGAAGAAACTTCTTTTTTCTATTATTTTTGTCAAAATTTTTTCAATCAAAGAAAAAATGACGACAATGACGTAATTGCATACAAGAAAACTAATCATGACTTTTTCGCTTCAATAGGCTCTGAAAGACGTAAATAATTTACTGTATTGACAGCAAGTTAATGTGGTCTAACAAACAAATCAGGAAAATCAATAAAATTTGCAATTATCAATGAGCTTTTTTCATGCTTGAGCTCCTGCAAAATTAAGGAGACTTTCTTATGACGTGAAACTGGCATTAAATTTGAATAGTTATTTTCCCAAATAAAAAAATCGAAATTAGTCTAGAAAATAAAGGCCAATTCAAAAATGAGAAAAACACATTGAATCTACTCGCTATTAACTATCAGGTAAAACAGAATATTTTCTGCCTATCGTTTTCCGGCAACCGTACTCCTCCTGGCAAATATCTGATTCGAGGCGATGGCTAAAATATAAGCAAGGTAGTAACTATACGACTAGCACCAATTATTCACGGTATTCATATGATGTCTGGAAATACACCATGCTGACGAAAATTCTGATGTAAAAGCTGTAAGTTAGTATTGTAATTTTATGAAATCACAACACTCATTTACAGCTTTTACATTTTGCATATAAAAGAAGAATGTGTAGTATAGTAAAGTATTGCTGATGGCAGTTTTATATTAATCTCCTGACAATCAACTTGGCGGTTGAACAAGGTGGAACTGTGGCAGTTGACAAAGGAAGAACAATGGAAGTTGACGAAAAAAGTTGAAAAAGGCATAAATTTCAGAGTAAATGTAATTTCTTCCATATAAAATTCCCAGCAATTAAGAAGTGAACCCCCTCCTTTCTTCATTTGAAATATCTGTTGCTGCAAGAAGAGTAGCTTAGAAGATTGTATTAGACGTAAAATTAAAAAAGAGATCGTCTTTACCTTGGGTCTTTTCAATAATTTGCTCTATTAAAAAAAATGAATCGTAATAACACCAAATTTATTTATTTTGATTTGATTTAAATGAACCCCACAACACAACACCAGTACGATGTTGCCACTGCATCGTGTAGTAGGGATTATCATTGCGCCGTGTGATGGTGATTTTAACTGCACAGTATAAAAGTGATTGTTACTACACTATGAGGTGGTGATTGTCAATACACTGCATGGTATCGATTGTTACTGCACCACGTGATGGTGATTGTTACTACCCTGCATGGTAGTGATTGTCCCTGCATCATGTGGTAGTGATTGTCACTGCACCATGTAGATGTCATCGTCACTGCACCGTATGGTAGTGATTGTTATTGCACCATGTAATAGTGTTTGTCACTAAGCCGTATGGTAGTGATTTTCACTGCACCATTTGGGGGTGATTGTCACTGCACTATGTGATGGTGATTGTGACTGCACCGTATGATGGTGATTGTTAAAGCACCATGTGATGGTGATTGTCACTGAACAGTATGGTAGTGATTGTTAAAGCACCAAGTGGTGGTGATTGTCACTGGACCATGTGGTGGCAATTGTTACAACACCGTGTAATAGATATTGTTACTGCACCGTGATTACACAGGGCTTAAATCATAGACGGATTTTCATATTTTTTACTTGGGTAGTGCAAAAATTTTAGGGGTTTAGCTTGTAGAAAAAGGGACGTAAGAAATAATTAGGGAGTAACAATTTTTGGGTTGATCTGCTAGTGCAGTTATTAAAGGTAATGTAGAGAGTTGAAACATTGTCCTGCAAGAAAATCTAATGCAGTCGCAAGTGTAATAAAGATTTGTTTTGCTAAAAATTGTGGGGCTTAAAATATTTCTTGAAGGCATGAAAAATTTATTTAGGAGTGAAATCTGATGTTTTACGATGTGCCCCGCTGCACTGTCGAGAAAATCCGTCTATGACTCAAATTAACAGCTGAAATGTCTTCAGTGAAATGACCAGTCACCTCGATTTTAGCTAGGTCAATGTAGGTTTTCAACGTAGTTGTAGAAATCAAAAAAATAATTTTTTGAGACAATTTCCTGTGTTTGACGTTTTAAGCTCTCAAGATGTTTAACAATACATTGCAACACTAAAATATTCTATAGGAAAAGGTTTTGGGGGTTGTTTCAGTTGACTGGCTTTTATTTTGAGCCCTTACATACCTTCAAGTCGGAATCAGTTTTGATTCTTCGAACTCATGTGAAATTTTTTTCACGAATTCATGTGAAACCATTAGAAACATAGTCAAACCTCAATATGCGTATATGTATATGTGTATGTATATGTATATGTATATGTATATGTATATGTATATGTATATGTATATGTATATGTATATGTATATGTATATGTATATGTATATGTATATGTATATGTATATGTATATGTGTATGACTTGTTGGAAAATAGTTTATATTTATTACCTAGCTTTTTTGCTGGAATAGGCAGTCCATATTTAATATCTTGCTTTCTTGGAAAAATAGGAGGTTCATTCTTCCGAATTATTAATTCCAAATCATCTTCTGGCTGAAAAGTACAGAACAATATGTAATTGAAAAATCTATATACTATAGAGTTGAATAGCTGGGCTACTCAAAGAAAGCTTAGACAAGGAACAGCAACAATAAAGAATAGACAAGTAGGTGGTGGTGTCTTGTAGGAGGGTCGATGACATCTTTGCCATAGTCAAGAAAGACAAAACTGAACAAATCCTACACACCATAAACAATACCACAAAGAACATTACCTTTACTAAAGACGAAGAACACGACAAACAACTTACCTTCCTCGACATCCTACTAACCAGAACAGATGACGGTACACTAAACACACAAGTATACCGCAAAACCACCCACACAGACCAAATACTCAATTTCAACAGCAATCATCCAACACAACAAAAAATAAGCTGCATTCGAACACTTTTCAACAGGATAAACACTCATTGTAATACGGAAGAAGCCAAAAAAACAGAACGCAACTACTTATACTCCACATTTATTAAAAACAATTACCCTAGAAACTTCATAAACAAAACTATATACAAAATACAAAACAAAACACAAACCGACAAAAGCAACAAAAACCGGACGAAACAGTAAAATCGTCACATTACCATACATAAACGGAACATCAGAAATGACTGCCAGACTTCTTCGACCATTTAATATTAACGTCGCCCACAAACCTACACAAAAACTCAAATCATGTTTCACCTAACATAAAGACAAAACAACAATTCATGATAAAACTGACGCGATCTACATGATACCATGTAAAGACTGTTCAAAGCAATACATAGGACAAACATCTAAGAAAATTGAAACAAGACCCACAGAACACAAAAACGCCATAAAACGACGAGATCCGAACTCACTACCGGCAGAACATACCCACGGAAACAACCACACATTCGACTGGACAGAAACTAAAGTACTCGGACGCGCACAGACTAAACACGCACGCCAATTTAAAGAAGCTTGGTACAGTAAAGACAGCGACACAATAAACAGACATATCGACATACCCATCATATACTCACAACTAAAGAAAAAGGACAAAAAAACTACACACAACACCAAAACTAAAACACTACACTCTAATATTATTAACACCAATCATATTAACAACACACCAAAACCCATGGCAACGCATTTCACCCCATCCAATCACATTAATCCACCCACTAATCCATTATATCTGCATTATATCTTTGATTAAAGCAGTGAAGTAAAAATATTGTCATAAAATATTAACAACAATAGCAACAACAATCATCTCTTCAGTGATTAATCTTCTTGGAAACAAAAGAATGTTACAATCACTTTTCACAGCATTTAGTAACTGTATAAATTTTCAATTTCACACAAACTTTAAACTTCATACAACCACTAAATATAATTTAGTATCATTAAATCATTTCTTCATTAATTCTTTCAAAGCCTTATGAAACAGTTCAATTGATACATTCCACACAACCAGAATACAAAAAATTTTCGTGACAGATGACGTTCAATTCAAAATTCATGTCAAAAGAAAAACAAGTTTGCAATAAGAATTAACTTTCTGTCTGGTAATAACTACAACCATGTTTGCACAAAAAATACATGCTCAAAACAAATTGTTTTACTCAACATAGCACTATTAGAAATGCATCCAATGTTAAGGCAATATAAACTTCCTTTATCAGAATACCATGAATTATGTACATTTCCAAAGCCTAAAGTCTCCCCAATCAATGGCCAATTCTAATTTATTCTAATTACTTAATACTATCTCGGCTATTCATTGCAAAATTAAATTATTAAAACGACTGTTACCTCCTCAGCTAAAAGTTTCATATGCCGATCAACCAATTTTGTTCTTTGAGCATCATCTAATGTTACTGGGTTTTTTTCATGTCATTAGTTATCATTCTTCCATTTAAAACTAACAAGTTGTATGTGTAATACATGCAAACGACGTTTAAAGATAACGCACTGTTACTTTATAGCTCTTATCATGAGCATGTAGTGTGGCTTGCTGATAGATCATATAACAAATTTCAATGCAAACACTGAAACACATCAAGTGTCCATGTAGCCAAAGAGCTTTGACTTATCTATTTCATGTTGTTTTTTCTGCGTTTTTTTGGACTAAAGATTTGTTTTGTTGTACAATGGAAATTTCATGTTCAGTTTCAGTTTTCGAAAACCAAATTTCCTGTTCGTATTTTGTATTACCATTTCTGCATGAAAATATATACTTCAAAGTTAAAGCTGAAATTACACTTTATGTGTGTTTAAAGGTGAAAATCTGTGTATACCACACTTACTTATACCGACAATCTCTACATAGTACATCCAAAACGTTTCTCAAAACCACGTATTTTAAGTGTTTATTAATTAGTATTCAATATAATTAAAGATATTAATCTAAATGAGATCTCCTAAAACGGCTAGTTGCTAAATTATAACTACACTATATTTACATTAATGAAATTAGATAAGTATACATACATTTTATACGAATTTATAAAGAGAAGATTTTTGAATTGTTAGCTATGGAGGCATGTTGTGAGCGCAGTAGTTGAAGAAATAATGAGACTAAAGAAAAAGATATAATCATATACAACCACCATACCTATATGTACAATGGGACTGGGGACGGTTGAATACAAGTGAAAGGATAACAACCATTTGTCTTTGATATCGATAAAAAAAAGAAATGTTCAAAGCTAAAATCGTGTAATAATCATTTTTTGAACTTAAAAAATCGCAGCTCTTTATCAAAGATACCATAAAAAAAAATTCGACGCACTTTTAGGTGATATGTTGATAATTGACATGAATTCATTAGTTGGAGGAAAACCGTCTAAAGTTATTACTCCCATAACTATATCTCAATATTTAACAACTGCTTCCTTTGCGTGTGTTAAATGAAAAAAAAAAATAGCTGGAGAAAAAATTTAGGCTGCATCTAACATGTTGATTTTAGATCCACTTATAATAGTAATCTGATGTATTAAGATTATATAATGATATAAGACATATTGCTGTTGAAAACAATTTTATCATAAGTTCTATTGAGCATTTGCTGCTAACGTATTGATTCGCAAGAAGCAAACCTGCCCGCCTTGCAATCCAACACAAGCAGTTCCATTTTCAGCACAGGCAATTGCGAGAACATAATGTTCAAAATGGAACTCCTCCATTAATTGTCCATTTTTCAAATTCCATATTTTCAGCGTTTTGTCGCGTGAGCCAGAAACCAAAAATTCCCCTCCAGGAATGAACGCCAAAGCACGAATATCATGAGAGTGGCCATGCATGCGATGAATAATTTTCCCAGTTTTTAGTTCCCAATGCAAGAGGGAGTGATGCGATCCCTTCGAAACAATGCGCTCAATGCAAGTACCTGATAGTTGCTCATGACTATCAGTTTCTTCAGGTGCTAGATATGCACGTGACACCTGCTCTCTACCAGCTCCACCATGTACCTTTTCCACAATTTCTCCGTCTTTAAGACGCCATTTTACTACACTAAATCCACGTATGTAAGCAGCCACAAGTAGATTCTCTTCCACGACACGCAGCGCTGCAATCCCGTAACTCTTGTAACTGTACGTGCGGACGACTTCAGTGGAGTTCACATGGACCACAAAGTTGTCATAAGAACCACATAGAACGTCTTCTGCTCCATGCATGAAAGCCAAAGCTGTTATTGGATGCAGGTGAACCTTTTCGTGTGACCAGATTTCAATTAGTTTTGGAGGAGTGGATTTTTCAACAAACCAAAGTTTTACTGATCCACATTGTGTTCCAACGGCAAAATAAAGATATTCTTCATTTGGGTGACCTTGAACTTGGGTCACGGATTCTTTAAAAGCATATTTCGGATATTCAGTGGGATTGTTCTTTTGATGATGAAAGTACAACAGAATTCCGTTATCACAACCAAGCAGAATGTATTGCAAGCCAAGAGGTGCCACGCAGTTAACTTTTGCCCCAGGTTGACCTAAAGATGGTTGAAATAAGAATCATGACCACAATTAGCATGATTTCTTCAAAAAAAATTTACAATTACCGATACATTAAAGTATTTTTTGCACTCTAAAGCTTATGGATACCATACAGACCAGTTAAAAGGAAATGAAACAAAATTGAGGCAACAAAACGAAGAGAAGAACAAAACAGACCGATAATATATTACAATTCTACACATCAAAAAAATTGCCAGTTGCTACCCGTGGTGTAGCTATAACCGTTCCGCATGTCCAGTAGCGGATCAAGGATAAGTCAGGTAAGTAAAGCGACTTACGTACAATATGCAGAAAATTCAAGCACAATTTTCAAATGAATTTCGAAATTTGATCGTTAATGTTCTAAAAGACTACTCACTACAGCAGGCTTTTCTGTTATCGTGCAAGTTCAGCTTTCTACGATTTTTTGTTCAAATTCAAGTTTTGTCGAAAAAAACGTTAAAATTTTAAAAGTAGGGTAGATCTTACCGAATCGCGTGCCTTGACTTATAATCGGGTAGCTTGACTTACTAAAGCTTCTCAATGGAGTCCAAAAGGCATATTAACCAATCACAAACAAATGACTTAACTTCTAAGTGGGTTAACCTGACTTGCTATAGTTTTTTAAAAGAAGTCCAAAAGGCCTTTTGACCAATCACAGAGATACAGCTAGACTTATAAGTGGAGTGGTCTGACTTACTTCCAAACTTAAACGGAGTGGACTAAGTGAATTTATCAATTTCGAGATCAGTGCGGGAATAATGAAATATTTTAATCAATGAACGAATGAAGGTATTCTATAATTTTCAATATGCTTTGCTTGAGAAATTTCTTTCAAAATTTGAAAAATATTAATGCTCTTAGCTATTCTCAAAATAACATTCTAAGCGACGAATTACACTTCGTGGATCTTTAATTATGTCTACACTGAGGTGGACTCAGATGTTGTTTACTAAAGATCGAGCTCTTGTAAATAGTAATAGTGTAGAGTTATCATCTGAAGTTTACATGTCTAGCAAAAACGGTGCGATAAATAACGACAATTTTCATTCGATTCTGATTACTAGTTAAATTGACAAATTGATATAATGCGAGTATTGTTGAAATCCAATTAACTACTAAAAATATGATATATTTCGTAAAAATTTGGCGTGTTTAGAATATGACAGCCAATGAATTTAGCTATACGCAATTTATGGTTGGGGTATTTGCTTGTAAAGAACGATATGGTGCATGCAATGATTATGTTGTTCTTATAATTATTGACCAATTACAATTATAAACAATTGATATTCTTATGACAATTGTTGTTACATGTTTGTATTGTTAGGACAATTGTTGTTACATGTTACATGTTTGTTACGATTCTCCGGGTTCAAACCATTTACTTTATTACAATTGTTGTTGTTGTCTTGACAATTGCTAATTATCTTGTACATTCTTTTCATCTTAAGTCATGTCATATTCAACATGACTTACTTTTCTCGATCGACATTTCTCTAGCGCAAAAGTTTTACAAAGGCTCTTTGAATAACTGAATCGATTCTATGGGTTTAAGCCAGAAATAGTGATTATAAATAGACTTTTAATGGTCACCAATATACATTACACTGACGTTAAAATTCGCTCTCCAAGCTTTATTCTGATATCTATAGGTTATTACGGAGAAGCTTTTAAACAGAAAAATATTCATCAGTTGATCTAGTGACATGTGTGAGAATTTCTTTAGAATCGACTTACAAAAATGAGCTGCATGTCAATGTATAGACCTTCTCCACTCTTTTTATAGTGCCTTAAAACTGATTTTATGTAGTTGTTGTTCATAGTTTGCATGCATTTCTTGCGCGAATGCGTTAGTTTAAGATTTATCGAATACTTCACCAAGAACTTTGAACTGAGTTCCTTATTTAAAGAAATGATGTCAGCTATTGTATAGTTTGCAAGTGAGTGCTGTAATATAGAGCACAACTTATAATAAAAATTTTGTGTGCGTACCACGTGTATTTGCATATTTTTTAAAAACATTTTAACCCTTAATTGTAAAAAGACTAAATATTATTCCTATTAAACATTCCAAAACTTTTAATAATGTGTTTGCTTTGCAGATATTTAAACAAAAAAATAATTTTTCGTCTACTGTTTATATATATATTACTTTACCATGCTCGAACAAAAATGAGGAAATGCTACAGTAAGCTAAACAACTGAAATATGTATGATCATTAAGTGAACAAACCTAGTGGTACTTTTTCACAGCTGTTGCTGAAATTTCTTAGTTCCACTCGATTTGCCTCGTCAACTATGATAAAATTGAGATCATTTGGCAACATGCTAATCAAACGTACACCTTCACCAGACTCCGTGTTATTAAACTTCTGCACCACTTTAGAGCTTCCAAGATTCACCAGTGAAATAGTACCTAAACTACTTCCTGTCAAAGCAAATTTTCCATCTTTGGTAATATCAATTGCGGTGATGACGGAATTTTGAGGATGGTCAGCTTTGTATCGGATTTCACGCCAAGACGATAACTCCCAGTATATGAACACACTGTCTGTCACAATGCCAGCAAGAATGGCGTCACCTTTGGGTAAAACGACCATTTTCATACAACTTGGGTTAGGACCTTGACTGACAAAAGTTGCTTTAAGTGAGTTAAGATCGATTTTGCAAACTTCGTTGTTTCTGCTACAGGTAAAAGCTGTAGCAGAAACAACGCTACAGCTTTTGCCTGTATCTTCTATCTGCTTCAGGTTCTTCTGAAATGCAATCTCCATGGTCGTGTATGATGGCAGCGTAAGGCGTTTAGCCTTATCATCATTTTTCCAGTCCCAAAGAAATATTTGGTTATCTTTGCAGCCAATAAGAACAAGCTTGTCATCGAGGTCAAAACGCACTAAACGTGCTTGCTTATCGCCACTGATTCCGCGAATTTCTTTGCCGTCGTTCAATCTCCAAACCTAAAAGACAGAATGAATGTATCAACCAATTACATATATAGAAAAAAAACAAGAAAGAGAAAAAACGTAATGAAAGATAATTAAAATTAATAATATTATTTGTGGAGCTAGTGAGCAAGAAGTCACAGCGCGAAATTGTTTTTTAATTCTCTTAAATATTTTATGAATACTTGAAGTGAATAAAGGTGGATGGCGGAATATCATCTTCCTCTTGAAAACTTGGAATCATAAAAACAATTAAAAAATCAAAAATTCACTTGAATTTTGTTTTTTCTATAGCCCTGACATAGCTTTCATTATAATATTGCCAGCTCAACAATTGACATTAATGAATAATAGTTACAAGTCAATGATATATTACATAACTTTAGCCATACTTAATTACAATACAAGCCATTCGAACAAAAGTTTTAGTAGCTAAATTTTGCTCATTTATTTACAATGATTGATAATGTAGTATAAAAAACGTAACATCCCACAGCTCTTAAGATGTCATCAAATTACAAAAATAAGTTCACTTTCAAACCGGAAGCACTCATTATCATAATCTACATTTCGTACATAATGCATAGGATATGAACTGTTTTTTGAACTCTTTTAAATTTAAAGATGCACAAAACTCTTCACACGGAAACTTCCCTTTCTTTTTATTTCACATTTATTTACATGTTTGTTGCATTAAATAGACTTAATACCCATCGTAAAGTTCCTACTGACAACTTAATAAGCCAAAACATATTTTAAAACCAATGAACGTAAGTCTGACTTTTATTGATCAAATCAGGTCTTATATGTTACAATACCATCATAAAACAACGGCAAATAATTCTCATTGTTTCCATGTTTTACTTTTTTGCCTGGTGTGAAAATTCTAGAACGGTGCAAGCAACGTAACCATATTACAATTTATGAGCATTACCTTGATCAAAGAGTCCTTTCCAAGCGAAACAACATGATCGCCATCATTTGAGATTGAAACATTTATTACTCTTTGGTATGGCCTGCAAGATATGAAGAGCAAGAAGTCAAATATTAAAACTTTTTAATGCTCATTTTTCGGTAAACATTTAACAGAGTTGACATATACTTTCATTAGAAGTGTTGTGGCATCTTAAGCGAAAAAAATGACTAAAAAAAACCTTTTTAATCATGTACACATCGTGTTCATGTCAAATGCACATCATGTCCACAATTTAAGAAGAAATATTAGACGTGAACTAATCGTACCTTTACATCAATAATTAGTACCTCTGCTGAGAAACTAATAAAACATCATCATTTGATAAGGAGCTTTTCAATAAAAACAATGATCACTACAGTGCTGATTATGTATAATATACTGGAATACCAATTTGACATTTACACGAGTGCTCAAAGCAACATGATTGCAAACAATTAATATGCTTAATTATATATTTAATGCACGTAGACCTTTATAGAAAATGGTGAAACGAGTATCTATCTATGAAACCTATTATATGATCGGGAGAATTTGAGGCTTCCAGAAAGTTCATTTCCTTAGATTTCCTTAGTTGATTATTTCCATGCGTCATTCGACTATTGCTCTAACAAGGATGGCAAAAATGCTTGTAGAGGTTTGTGTAATGTGCCTGTAGCAGCAGCAAAGCCAACCCATTATTGATCCTATACATTGCTAACATGGGTGCATTCAAAACGCAGAAAAACGCTAAATCGATTTGATTTTCTGAAGAAATAAATAATAATTTTGCTGACAAATTTGTATTGTTGGAACAAAAGATCAGACAGGCAAGAGTTCGCCAAAGGAAGCGCACACCTTAAACGTACACTTAAACGGTTCATCCCGTATTCAAACAACGATAATATATTTCTTTATTCGTGCAATTACTAAATTATATCACAAAACAAAGTTTAAGAAATTGGATATAGGAAACAGGGGTAATTCACACACCTCTCAAAGTAAAACGCTCCTTAGCTTCGATACATTTCCAGATTTTTATTGTTCCATCCATAGATGACGAAACACAATTTGAGCCATCTTGTGTGACTGCAATGTCCATTACATCTTCACTATGACCTCGAAACGAATTGTCGGTGATATGTTTATTTGTATCCAGGTCCCACATGCGAAAAGTCTTATCTTGACTGCCAGATAGCGCCTTTCTACCATTCGAAATTATAAGAACAGATCTAAAATAAAATAACCTCAATCATTGTAGTGTTATTTGAAGAAATAATGCCATAGTCATAGGATAATGGCAGACTAAGCTATTTTGTTAAGCAAGTGCTTGAAATTACAAATTATAATGCTGACAACAGTAATTTGAAGAACTTTATCTGAAATGTTAAAACTTAACGTCTAAAAAATAATGAAACTTTTTGAATACATTGTAGATATATGATACGGTCAAAGCAAGTTCTACAACTAATTACCTAATAGATTGGCTGTGTCCTTTAAAACAAAAAAGAGATTTTCCAGTTTCAAAGCACCATAACCTTACGTCCATATCCTGTCCTCCAGAAACTATATGTTTCGAGTCACTGCTTACAGCGACACTATATATTTCTCCTTGATGTCCCTTTAATGTTCGCACCTCGCCAAATGACTGCAAATTCCAGATCTTTAAAGTTTTATCACCAGAGGCAGAAACAATCATTTTACTATCGCAAGTAGCTGCTACGGCATAAACGGTGTCTGTATGTCCCTTTAGTGTCGCTAGGTGACTTAATGTAGAAGCATCCCATAATTTGACGTTATAGTCAAGAGATCCGGTCGCTATCATACGGCCATCTCTAGTGGTACATAAGCCTCGAATATGCATATTCGTTTCATGTGCTTGTGTCTTATCTAATAGTTTCCCATTAGCTACATTCCATATTCGCATATTCCCTATCAAAAAATTGACGATTCTAATTCAGTTTGAATTGCTTTGAATTAAAACTTGGCTTCATCCAACGATGATATAAAATTTTATATTGCAATAATTTGACTAGTATATTTAAGAAATAGAACCTTAAAGCTTTACATAGAAACATTTTCATAGTTTCTATGTAAAGCTTTATAAATACGCAGGAAAATTTGGGACAAACAAGGAATTACGTGGCCAGCACTAACATGAGTTGAAAGTGCTTTCAAGCAATTTCGATAATCTAATGACATTCCTTTGTAAGGAGTCCACCAGCAAATCGCATATGAAAACCACCAACATAAGTCCATAGAAACAAGTTAATATGTTTTCTATTTCGTTTATTAAATAGCCTTTTAAAAACAATGTTTAAAAGATAAATGTATTGATTTTAATGGCATGTTGTTTTTATTTTCGCCCTTAAAATGTCCTGCACAAATCATGCAATCTGCGCGATTCTTGCGAGATTGAAGTCTTGTGCATTATTAAGTTATATCAACAAACTATTTTCGAGCATTCGACCAATCAGCACCCGTGTTTTTGAAAGGTTATTTTATAAAACCAATAGAAAAGGAAACCAAAGACAAAACTAGTTGAGGTGTCCATACTTGATATAACTTACAATGCCAAAATTTTACAAAATTAAACACTAAGTTCAGTGTGGGCTGATTCATTAATTAAATAACATACCATCGTTTGAACCAGAAAAAAGACGTTTGTCATCAATGCTAAAATCCAGTGCATTGACAAATCCTCCTTCAGCTTCCATTATAAATAGCAATTTATAAGTGTCTAAGTTCCAAAGTCTGGTCGTAGAATCATAAGAACCCGACGCAAGCTTTGTTCCACAGTGCGACAACGCGAGGCAGTAAACTTCCATTGTATGACCTCGGAGCACTTCTAACTCCATAACAGTCTCCAGTTCATGCACTTTGATCAGGCAGTCTTTGGATGCTGAGATCACAATTAATCCAGAAGGACCTACGGTGGTAACCAACGCCAAAACTTTGTCACAGTGTTTTCTGAATATCTTTTCTAACGGACCTGTGGGGTCCGATAAACATGGAAACAACGGAACGAGATGGCAAGTGGTGGCACAACTTAAAAGCAATTTTACTCTTGGAAACTGCTCCTCATAAGAAAGCAGCCTTCCTATATAGTAAAATAAAACGTCATATAAAAAAGTGTACATATTTTAAATTTACTAAAAAATTATCATTACAATCAAATTGTTTAGTCATTCTAAAGCCCTTTGCTCGCACAAAATGCCTAAAACATTTACAATTCATTAGGCATTCAACTGCGTCTGCTGACCAAGCACTATGAATGTAAGGATTGATGACATTGGAGTAAGCATAAAACCGTTGGCAAACAGAGTCGTGCATACAGGAGGGTGTCGGGTGGTGTCACACACCCCAAACTTTTATTTGAAAATGCATTCGGTAGAAGTACTATATTAGTCGGTAGAAAAAAGATGTTTGCCGACTAAATAATACATTACCTATGATATGTATAAGCGTAAATAAGAGTTGAGAGACTAAAATTTTGGTATAGATGTATAAATCAAGAGAAACTTAACAGTAGGACAATAATTCATGATAGTTTATGACTATCTTAATAATATTCCTTTAGTGCATTAACGATAATGCGTGATTACGTTGAGATTTATGCAATATCAATTTATAAATTAAGATAATTAAGGGATGTCATTTAGTAGACCTTGAAAATTATCGAGGTTTTGTTCTATATTGTATTCAGTACACGTTAGTTGGCCAGTTGTTGGAAAAGATTACACCCACTCTCTGATTAACGTTCTCAGGAAGACACTAGCTGTTGCATTGTAAAGTAAAATTTCTGACTCATTATTATATTTTTTTCACGTTATCAAATTAAGTCAAAATTTAACTATTGTTTCACAATTAAAATGCATATATACCATTATGTTGTTTTTAATTTATTGACAATAGCAACAACATTTATAACAACAACATTTATTACCAAGCAATTGAGTACCAAGTGAATTTGGACTGCTTTCGATCACATCAGCGGACAACATTAACGACGATTTAAGGAGTTTGATTTCGTACGAGGGGTGTTCAAGAAATCGAAAATCGGATATCAAAGATGGCAGATTAGTTTCTTTTACTTTTTGCTGCAGCCATTGGAAGTTAAAGAATAGCTGTTGGAGCTCTTCATACTCCTTTGCAGAATCAAGATGGTAAGGTAAATATCTGAAAAAATAGTCTCTTTTACCATTGAAGCACGGCCATTCGCGGTTTCTGCATTGTTTACGTAGGGCGACAAGGAACTGACCTTGAACATCCTCCACCGATCTTTGCTTGTAAGGATCTTCGCTTCGTAGTTTTTCGCGAGCATAATCCAGCACTAGATCATGAACACGATAGCTAGTTTTCTCATCTATTACAGGTCCTGTAATTTATATTGAATTTACAAATTTTCTACATATAGAGACCAAATGAACAATTAATGGTACATACAAAAGGGTGAAAGGTTGACATTAAAAAAATAAATTATCAAGGTTTACTCTCACAAGCTAAACAAAAGAAACATAAATTTTCCTTTTCCCATGAAAAAGGCTTTTTAAGGACTCCTTTTTGCATCAATATCGTCTTTGCTCTTGTAGAGATCTACTTTATTTTCAGGCAATTTTGCTTGTTTGATTCACAGAAAAATCCCACTATTCAATATGCATTGTTTACAAGCTACTCATACGACTTATACAATATAATAAATAAGTTGTTTTTGAATGGTGAAAATCTGACCTTTTTGTAAGAGTGATTTTCTTTCAAGCAAACGCAATATGTCTCTTGTTTTTTTGGCACTACATGTGTTTCGCCCTGGAATGTTCTCAGATGACCAAAAGAGTTCAAGGATGTCTGATGGGATATCGGTATCCTCTGGAAAAATGGCGAAATCGAAAAACTTTTCTTCATATTCTGGTTTCTTTTGCCTAAGCCGTTTTAAACTGACATCAATAGCAGCCGACACATTTGTATATTGATATTCACCAGGTAAGACATCCTTTTTTGACTTAATACTTAGTTGTTGTAAGTTTGCACTTTTAAGTTCATCTAAAGTATCTTGCCAATCCTGCTCAGAGCTAGCATCTATTAAAGTGGCACCGATGATCGACAAGGCAAGTGGGAGTCCACGGCATTGCTCTAACAATTCTTCTACTATTCTTTGTAATTTGACAGAAAGCGTCGATTGTTTATCAGTAGAGACCTGCGCACAATTGTACAAAAGCTGGCGAGATTGATCTTTCGGCATTATTTGCAGTTCGTAGATTTCAATGCCTAATAGAATTTTTCATTAAAGTTGCTTTTTATTTATCATAAGCATTTTAAACGACTACATTTGCTTGATATTTTACAATAAAAAGCGTAAAAGAACTTTGTCTGGTTGTGAAAGTATGCATAAAGTAGGCATCCAAGGATAGTGCAAAGTTTCTTAGAAAATATGTTCCTAAACATGACAAAGAAAATTAGTTTTAAGAATACTTAGTATTGAACCTTGGCGTTCCAAAAAATGCTAAACTGAAATTTATTTCGGGGAGGCTTTTCAATGCCTGAAATTTTGTGTTTTGACGAATAGCTACACTGACTTGCTCCAAGATTGCGTAAATAAACCTTAATTTTTATGCCCACTTAGGTTGCAGATACTTAATAAGAACATTTACGCGCCACAATCATACCTTCGTCATCCATGCATCACATTCTTTTATTACTACTATGAAGTATAAAACATATAAATTACGAAATCACTCATGATTTACTTTCTTTGTTTCGGTTATGTTGTATTTTTCATTCTTTGGCACATATGTCAAGCTTATGTTCATGGGCGTATCAAGGGCATGTCAAGAGAGTCATGCGGCTCACGTATATTTTCCTAAAAAAATAATTATTCTATTTTGAGAACCAAGGTCACCATAATGATGAGTAATTACGTATTTTCCTTTTTACAAAGTCCAAATTTCAGTTTAGTTTTATCTAAAGTTAGTATTTAAAAACCATTTTTGTTTGCGGAGGCAGCGGTTAAGCGCACAAATCTCGCACCATCTTGTGACTATATCCATTTATTTGATTAGCAAAAGCGTATTTTAATTATTCTTGACTCCTCTCGCGACTCATTTATTGTAAATTACCGGGGGGCTGCGGACTACTTTGGCACTATATTTTCTGTTAGTCAATGATTCCTTCACTCACTTGCACTGTTCACGACCGGGGGAGATCGTCAATTTGAAAGTCAAGCGTATCGTATTCTATTAGCAAATTTTGTTTTGAATTTGGTGGACTATAATTTTGTAGAATAGTCGGACTATTCTACAAATTACTGTCACAATGGTAAGTAATGATATGGTCAAGGCATTAAATGTGGAATTTTGAATAAAGACAGAGTTATTTTGTGCGAATTAAAATCGTCTTTGCGTAAAAGGTATGTTGAGTGAGTCGTCGAGTTAGTCGAGCGACCAGCTTGCCGATTTGTTATTTAACAAGAAGATACTAAGTAGTGATTTTTATGATGAGGTTTATATATATGCCTTTGAACGATTGTAGTTGTAAAAGAGGCGTTTCCACAGCTATAAGGTATTTAGGTTTCAGTCGTGATTCAATTTGAAATGAGTATGTTTGAGTTTGAAAATAGATCATTGATTTATTGTACTTGCTGATCAGATCTTTTTGGAAATTTCCTTGTAGCTCTGTGTCCCTAATTTTCTCAATTGATTAAAATCTGGTAAACTTATTAAGGCTGCCGACCTTTATAGAGCTCTTTGAAAATGCCAAAAACCTACTTCCATTACCCTCTATTCAACTATTGATAAAAATAATGTTGAATGTTTCAATCACAGGCTAAAATCTTTGCTTCAATCTGTATCGCAGGAGTGCTTGGATACGGGTTTGACTAGCAAAGATTTTAATTAAATGAAGATATGATCTTCGCACTTTGCTGGACAATTTAAGCAATCGTTTCAGGACCTGAAAAAATCAGGTGACTCAACGGGATTCGAACCCATGACCTCTGCGGTGCCGGTGCAGTGCTCTGACCAACTGAGCTATGAAGTCACACAGTGGTGAGCAGGTCAATATTGTTGGGCTCATGTTTTCTCGTGAAAGGAATGTTATATGAAAAATGTTTTATGCAGTGCGGTGTTCGAAATTAAATGAAGATATGATCTTTTCTTTACATTTAAGCAATTGTCTCATGAACCTGAAAAATTCAGGTGACTCAACGGGATTAGAACCCATGACCTCTGCGGTGCCGGTACAGTGCTCTGACCAACTGAGCTATGAAGTCACACAGTGGTGAGCAGGTCAATTTTGTTGGGCTCATGTTTTCTCGTGAAAGGAATGTTATATGAAAAAATGTTTTATGCAGTGCGGTGTTCGAAATTAAATGAAGATATGATCTTTCACTTTGCTGGACAAATTAAGCAATCGTCTCAGGACCTGAAAAATCAGGTGACTCAACGGATTCGAACCCATGACCTCTGCGGTGCCGGTGCAGTGCTCTGACCAACTGAGCTATGAAGTCAAACAGTGGTGAGCATGTCAATATTGTTGGGCTGATGTTTTCTCGTGAAAGGAATGTCGTATGAATGTTTTATGCAGTGCGGTGTTTGAAAGATTTTAATTGTTAAAAGAAACATTCCTGAACTGCCATAGCAAGTAGAAGTCATCATTTTTGGAAAGGCTTGACTTCTGTCATTGAAAGATCAATTCACTCATATTATCCTTATTAGGAAACGCTCAAAATGTTATGCAATCGTCGAGGCCCTACTTTCACCCTAAAATACAACCTAACCATTTTGCATCTCTATGATTTTTTTGAAACAGAGATTTTGTCGTGGTGACAAACTTAAAGATGGATTTCAAAATAGCAAATTTCATGGTGAATGGTGATAATAACAATGTAATATTTCTTAAAAGAACTGTTTTAACCAGAAAACTAACCAACAATTCAAAGGAACCGTTATTTACAGCTAGAAAGAGACACTACGCATTTTGGCAGACTACTCGTCACGTGTCAACGTCTGCTAAATGAGAACCTCCAAATCATGCTACATTTACAATGTTACAAAGTCAATGTCATCCCTATTTTTAGAGATGACACTTAAAACAAAGAGAGATTAAACACGTAATCCTTTTGTCGGCAAAGGACAGGTTAGGGTTAGGGTTAGGTTAGGGTTAGTGTTAGGTTAGTGTTAGGTTAGGGTTAGTGTTAGGTTAGGGTTAGGGTTAGGGTTAGTGTTAGGTTAGGTTAGGGTTAGGGTTAGATTTTACCGACTCCATAACGCGTAGCTGGAATAACGAGCCACATTTTTTAATAATTTTAAAGTTTTCATCAGAATAAGCATTGGCACAGTGAATGTTGCTTAAAAGATGTTTTCCAGTCGCTGAATCACATAGAATCGGATTTTCACTTTTACACGCACGTTTTGGTAGTTGTCGTAAAGAATTAATTTTATTCTTGACAGAAGCTGGTACATGCTGTTTTATTCTTTTTCTCAAAGGTTGAGTGAAAGAGCTTTAAGGTATACCTACCTATGAGATCTGCAAGGTATATCTACCTACGAGATTTTCAACACTGTGATTTAGACATTGAGCATGGTTTTCATCAATGGTAATTTGATTTGGAAAGATTTTAGGTTTCAGAACAATCATGTTTTCTCTCAGTAATAAGAACTACAGAGCTTTTAGATATGAGTGATTTCAAGATTTTCAATGGCTTTGTTATTTCGCTCAGGGCATGGTGCATATTGTTTATCTTGTTTAATTTTTGGGGAGCTTTATTCTTCAAAATGTTCTAGAAGCTCTAAATTAGTAAGTACTCAATGCAGTTATCGATGGTGTGGTGCTGTAAATGTCAGAATCAGGCTGTCGAATATCGACAGTCAAATTTCTAGGCATGGTGATGAGCCTGATATAGGGTGAAACAGCCAAACAACTTAACAACTATTTCAATGTTAGAAAATGTAAATATTTACATACAAATGATAGTCATAAAATACGATTAGTGTACATTCTAAAATGATGGAAATTGCATTTCGAGACCCAATAAATTAAAATTTTCCAGGGATCTTGCCATTGACTCTAAATGGCGAACGCCTCCGGCGTGCGCACTTGACTCACGTTTGAAAAATCCTAGATCCGCCCCTTCTCATGTGTTCAGAAGAACAAAATGGTTTGTTTATTTTGGCGGTATTTTTTAGCGTTAAATTCCACCTAGTTAAATAGCAGAGACCCGAGTTGTAAAATGCAACGATATCCGATAAATATTTACGTAGAAAAATTTGCATCAGTTGATGAACAAGTCCAGTTTCTGGCAAGTTTGCGTGAATAAACGTTCATTTCGTATTTGCTTTTTCAGAGCAATTACATGAAAGTCGAGAAAGTCATACAGTCGTATATGACTTTTTTATATTGTTCTAAAGTAATCCACAACTAATGCTTTCTTTAAGGACAGTAATAGTGCACTTTATTTCTTGTAAAATGTTCCTTACCGAAGCAGATGTGCAAGACTGACTGACTGACTGACTGACTGACTGACTGACTGACTGACTGACTGACTGACTGACTGACTGACTGACTGACTGACTGACTGACTGACTGACTGACTGACTGACTGACTGACTCGTGTAATTTTCGCCACCCACCACAATACTACCAAGTTCCCATGGAAACTTTGCACTAAAATTTTCTTTGGTGATAATCAAACATTGTATTGCGTCACTGTAGAATTTACTTATATGTTAAATTTGTAAAGAGTATATTTTTATTTGTACAGTGAAATCAAACCTTTTAAGCCACGAACAACGTCTGCGTCTCGTGTCGTAATCAGCAGCTGACATTTCCCAGATAAGCAATCAAACCAACTAGCGTCTTTATATTCCATACGTCATCAAGAACAAGAAAGCAATCTTTGTCAATCGTATTTTCTCTCAACCAAGATTGCGCGTCACTTTCGTTACTATAAGTTACTGCTCCACCTAGTTCTTGGATAAATTTATTTAGAAGACTTAAGCAGTCTGGATTTTGACCAATATCAAGCCAAACTACGTGACGTTGTTCTGCTTGGATCCAAGCAACAGCCTGAGCTAATACAGTTTTTCCAAGTCCCCCCATACCGCGAATACCCAGTAGTCCCACCTTATTACTTTTGGATTTTAATTTCTCTATAACGTCACCCACAACTGACGGCCGCTCAACCATATCTCTGGGCAATTCACGTAAGCCAGATGGAACTAAAAACATGAATTTTGGGTTGGAACAATTTTCTATGTCTAACACAATCCACAAACATGATTTAGTCTGGCTCTATCTCACAAGAACAAGTCACAAACTTCTATTAGCTTACACTCGATTACTTTGAGTCCTTTTTCAGTTTTTACACAAATTGTAATCAATGGATTGGTTCATTACAAGTCTGCTTTATACGCTCACCTGCAACACCACAGTTCTGACAATAATTAGTTTCACTGTGCGCTTTTTGTCCACATGAATTGCAACACAATTTAAAAAAAACTAGTTTTAACAATTACATACTCATATATAAAATGTGCCTTTTATTGTTCGAGAGAACAATGGCTAAATTTCTTTTTCACGTACGATTTTACATAAAGTATCTAATGCAATGGAAACACTGCTTAACGAGCAAAAATTTGAATTTAAAATTTGAATAAGTGCATGGTGTGAATTCGAATTCGCAGAGCAAATTTGAATTTTAATAACACTTTAAACAGCAGATTTGTTACCCACACAAAAGCTAAATTTTTATACATGGTCTGTTCTTTTGCCAAAATGACTATACCTTTTGTTTTTCTATGGCTGACGTGATTCTGGCCTTCCTTTTCTTTTGTTACATAGAAAAGAAAAAATACGCATAAATTTTAGTCTGTCATCAAATATCCTCAACCAAGCATTGTTCCACTATCAACTATTCTAAAATTTTTGAATCTTAATATGCGATGGAAAAGAAGTTTTGAAACGACCTAAAAACTGAAACCTTGTTATACATACTAAAAATTACAAAACGGTATTTTCTATTAGTACACAACAATTGAGAGGAGAGATTTACTACACTACACTACACTACACTTTATTATTCTCGTAAAAATCCACAATATATTTGCTCCTTATTTTCGAAAGTTTGTCCCTTGGTAATGGCGGCCCTCTATTTTTGTCTTTAACTTTTGTACTAGATGCTTGATCCAGTCTTATTTCGAGATCAGTGATTCTAATAGGTATTTGCTACAGGAAAAACAGGATTTTTATTATTGCAACTTCGAAAGTAATTAGAGCATTACTGAAATAATCTTAATGCCTCAAATAAAAATGCTTTTATTAGAGCATTGAGGACGACTACAACACTTGGTATTGTCATGCCCAATTCATTCTTGTTGGTGGCGCATCAACAAAATGTTCAATTGGGTTTTCGACTGACTAAAACCCACGACTTTCTAGCCTTTTATTTTTGGCTCATTAGCAATTGTAAATAATTTATTTAATGATGATATTTTCATTTATACAAGGAAACACATAGTAACTAATGTAGACATTATTTTCTTCTTTTAGATTTAAAGAATATAAAGATTTTGTAAAATTTCCGAGTTAGTAGCAACAAAGGTATTCAACGAAATACTTATTGCTCGCCCCTTTCTAATTTCTACCCTAGTGTGACTATCAAGTCGTCATACAACTTGGGAATGAACAGATCGTATCATTCTCTCCCATACGCCTCCCATATGGCTCACTGAAGGCAGGTTAAAGTGCCACTTAATTTTTCTTTGCGTACAAAATTTGTGAACTTTACTTTGATCTCATTCTTCAATTTCTATGTTCAATTCATTATTAGCACTCACAAAATTTGTTCCTCTATCACTCCTGATTTGTTTGGGACATCCTTGAATGCTAATAAATTTCCTGAGAGCGTAGATCATCGGGTCAGTATCAAAGGAATGAGCTATTTCTATATGGATTGCTCGGGTCGTGAAACATGAGAAAAGGTAGACATATCTCTCAACCAACGATCTACCTCTTTTTACAAGCATGGGTCCAAAATAATCGATTCCTACATTAGTAAAAGGAGGTTTTTGAGGTGCCACTCGGCTTTCTGGTAGATCTGACATTAGCTACTCACCCAAACGAGCCTTTCTTCTTTGACAAGCCAGGCAACGTCGTACAACGCGTGAAACTGCTGTTCTTCTTTAATTATCCAGAATTCATTTTAGTGATGATAAGACGGATTCTTGACCCATATGACCTACTTCAGCATGATGTTGACAAATTATCATATCTGTGACGGGATGCTTGAAGGGTAGAATAATAGGATGTTTTGATTTCCCATTGATTGGCGCATTAACAAGCCTGCCTCCAACCTTTAGTAAGCCGTTCACCATCATTGGATTTATTTGTCGAATGTAGATTCCTCATTTTCGGAGTAGTGCCTTGTCAAGCTCCTTGCTATTTCCTGGAACTGCAAACAGTTTCAGTTGTTGAGAGAATGTTGTGTTCTGTACATGTACGAAGATCTCCCTTTCGGCGGCATCCAATTCTTCCATTTTTAGTCATACAGTTTAAATTCCGATTCCAAATAAGGACCAGAAAAACTTTCGTTTGTCTCGCCTTGCTAAAAATAATCATTATAACGTAACAACCAAGCAACAGAACACCTAAACTTCCACTAAATGGAGTGGCGTGAAATCAACATATCGAACAAGTGAGGCTATTCTGCAGTCACGTAAATTTCCTTCCTTCCTTACTTAGTCTTCATCCTTTAGTTCAGAAATGTTGTCCCTTTAGACAGTGACTTTCATCCTCCGAAAAAATGCAGGACATTTTAACTATTGGCTTTTGTTTCTCAACACGTCTATTTTAACGCCCTCGGAGCCTTTATCAGTGGGATTGTCGTCCCGGTTCACGTAATCCCACTATGGTAGGTGCGATCCACTACGAATCACTGACAAACGGTTGGACTCGAATGTGTGAAATTCACTCTTTAATTCAGTAGATCCAGTCATCCCTGTCAATGTGAAGTCAAGCTCTTCCAGTTATTCCAAGTTGATTTTGCTAACGTTTACGACAAAGTGTTACTTCTGAACCGCTTTCCATTAGTGATTAGTAAGTTCTGATTGATGGTCGATTGTTCCCCTTTGCTTTTACTTTCAGTGGGACAACGCTAAGGCACACGCTCTCTCTGGCCCAGTTGCAACTGCTACCTTTACTTCATCTGAACTTCCCTCTTTATTCGGTTCCCCTTCTTGTTTGTGCTATTTCCTTCACACTGTTTGTTCTTTAAATCCTCCTTGCTGGCCGTAAACGTTTGTGGTGGATGTAACTATTATAATAATGCTGGAGCATTATTTCTATATGATATGCTGTCGGTATAGTAATTGTATTTTTTTACTTGTTATCGTTCATATAACCAGTAATAGAAATCAGGAGGGAGTGCATATTCATAAAAAATTTTAAAATGAAAGTTTTGACCAACAAAATCCGCCATTACCGCCAAGTTTTTGACAACCGGGTCCAGGCCCCTTTTCCCCTCCAAGTATTATAGAACTCCATGGTTAAAACTCCCCAGAAATCTTATTTTCTTTTCTTTTAATTTATCCATGAAATCAATACTGTCACGTACGTAACGCCTCTCGTCCATGATTGTTGTAGCAATGTCGCAGAGAATATCAACATCGACTTTGTTTAATTGAAATATCAACTGGTCCTTTAAATCTGGTGGTATATCTTTCATAAATCTTAGAGTTTAATGAAGATGGAAATATTCATTAGCTATCTCAATATTTATTTCACATTCATTTAAAAAATGAACTAGTAAACTAATAAGCAATCCGGAAAAATTATGCTTTGATTCATCAATTAGCTTGATTATTCATGAAAAATTAAGGTCAACTGTTTTTTCGTTCCTCTGTTTTCATCTTTACTTACCTTTGTTGTTTTGGCCAAGCTAACGTCACGATCATTTACGGTGTTTTGCTGAACCATCACTGGTACGGTGTTTTGTTGAACCTTCACTGGTACGGTGTTTTGTTCAGCCTTATCAGGTAGCTTAACATCCAAATCCCTTTCTATTTCAAGGGCTAAGCCTCCCTGCTTACACTCTTTCAATGCTAGGAGCAGTGCTTTTACATTGGCATGTTGTCCATCTCTATCAAACCAAGTCTTCAACACATATCGTGGGTTGTCAGAGAATTTTTCAGGAATCATGTCTTCCTTACCTTCTGGCAACTTCAGTACTTTGTAAAGGCTTGAAAAACAAGCAATTTTAGATTCTAGTTAGACAATACACCAACATAATCACTAGCGTCATGTCATAACAAACATTATACAGGAAAAGGTTACGTAAAAACCTTTTAAGTTTTTTTACAATCACCTTTTCCAATCATTCTCTAATAGCTCATTTCCTTTATTTAAACGTTCTTCTAACTTTCTTTGAACATGATTTGGTATTTCAGAGTAGGTTGTTTCTAGATTACACACAGTTGATGACTGGTTTGTCAAACCAAACGCAGACACTGTATCTGTAAATGGGAACGTAGAGAGGACAATACAGAGGTAATGTCCGGTGGCAGATCTAGGGTACGTCAAAATAAAGTATTGCAGCATATTTTGGCATAAAGCCTCTTGGAGTCAAATCAGTTGGTGAATTCTATAAAAGTTCAAAGCCAACAGTGTTTTCTGAAAGCATTTTGAATTTAATATTATTTTGACGAACGCTGGATTCACTACAGGTCATGTCAAAAAAGAATTAGCTTTTACTGTGGAAGAGAGAGAGTCTTCCATAGCTCACCCTTCAGTCCTTAACGTTGATTATCGAGTTATTAAGAGTAATAACACAGTTATTACCAAAAATCTATACCTGAAAATTATGCACTACATCATATTAAGTGTCTTTTATAGAGAACATAAAATGTCAGTTAGCAAGTTCTCCAAGACTCAATTGTGTTGCGCTGTTTTGTGATGACTTACCGGATCGCTCCGAATTGATTAAAGTAGTTGCCGATGTGCTGGTATTCGAAGACGAGGTTTCTAAATTCAATAAAACGATAGGAAAATTTACCAATTGAACACCAAGAAATGGAATAGAGATATAATCAGTTTGGAAACTGACTTAGTGTAGGGGAGAGCATTAATTTTACTTCGTGCATATATAACTTAATACTTCATGCAATTGATCCTTGCGAAATTGAATAAATATTATCTAGTCGGACGCAATTTAACTAATATGTGGTATTCTCACAAAAATTGTTTTATATGGATTTGTAAGTCAATGAGAACGTTTGAATTTGGAAAATTGATATTATTACAGGAAGGAGATTGTAAACATTTGTTTAGCAAGCAAAAGAAGTTTTAAGCTTTGAAAAAAAACTATTTTAATGAGTCATACCACGACAATGACATACTACGCTGAAAAATCTTGTTTACTGTATTAATTTTTAAAGCTATAACTACACGAACAATATATGAATGTTTTGAGCTATAGAGACCTAGTAAAAACCTTGACAGATTTCAATGTAGGCAACTTGTTAGGCTTGTAAAACAGAATAGTCCGCATATTTATAGTGAAGAATAATTATTGTAGCTATTACTTGCGACACATAATATTTAATAACAAATGAAGCATTGTTAAGATTCAGATACAAGAAATTTTCACGCTAGTACTTACTATAACTAATATACATATAATGGGTAACTGGCTATAATCATTTTTACGTATACATTTCTACTATTCCATCCAAGTAATTTATATAGGTAAAGTAGTAATTTATTTAGGTAGGTCCATGTTTATCAAATGTTGTTTTATTAATCGTTGGCATATAAACATTATAAAAGTTCATTCATTTGTGCGTTGCCTCTAATGTATTCTATTCCTATATAGTATAGTTGTTTTTTTAAAAGTTTTGTGTAACTTTGCTAAATTTCTTGTATTATAGTTATGAATTTCATTGTTTGTTTCAAAATTTTCCGGTAAATTTTGAAAACGCATGCAATTGTTTTAAATTCTTCGTATTTTTTGAGTTCCGTTTTTATCGGTGTTAAGATATTAAAGTCTTATGTGTTGTAAACAAGCTTTAACGAATACTTACTTATTAGGTGTCTTATTTTTGTAACTATCCCTGATCACATTACATGTGAAACTCAGTAACACGCGTGTTTTACAAATACACGGCCATAGCCTCGTAGTCTACTTTACCATGGTTAAAATTAGGGTTTGGGTTTTCGCGTATTTGTAGAGCTCTGAACTCCCATCTTGTACATAAAACTAAATTAAATCAATTAATCATAACCTATTGCGATTCTTTACAATTTACTGGTGTCGAGCTTTTTGTATGAACGAAAACGAAAGTGGACTGGTATACCTTGTTTTCTATCATCTTCATGGCAATTATTCTTTTCTGCAGCATCGCTGTGTTCTGTAGAGTGTATAAAAAAGTATACAGTTTTAAAAAAGCTTAAAATTTTGCCATAGCATTTAAGTAATGTAAGCTTTATGTTGATCATTTTCATTTTATTGCATTTAAGGTTTATTGCATTAAACAGAATTCACGTTATTCATCACTGTTTTAACATTTAAAGGAACTTTTTAACTTACACCTTATTAAGTGTGTCAGACAGGCGCGTCGGAAGGAACATAAAAACGGAGGGGGCACATTTTAAAAATTATGAGTACCTATGTCTGCAACATGTTGTCTAATAGTCGCAATTTAGAATTTTAGCAACACCGGTCGTTCACTTGCGAACGTAATAAACTAATGTGAAAACAATTTGCAAAAGATTTCTACGTGATTTTTTAGAGTCCACTCACTGCACTGTTGATATATGTGTGTTTTATAGTCAAAATAAACTATTAGTAAACATTCTCCTTGGTGGTAATTTTCCTATCTCGCAAAGTAAAGGGGACATCCCTTCTGAGAAAAGGGGTTCTGCCTCCCCTTCCGACGCCCTGGTATCAGGAAACATAAAATGTCAGTTAGCAAGTTCGCCAAGTTTCAATATTTTACGCTGTTTTGTGATGACTTACCAGATGGCTCTGAATTGATAAAAGCAGTGGACGATGTGTTAGCCTTTGAAGATGAGTTTTCTAAATTAAAAATAAAATAACAGAAATTTTACCACTAGAACAAAAGAAACAGAATAGCATCATACAACTATGCAGTTTAAAAATGAGTTTGTATAGGGTATAGCATAAACATTACTTTTACTTCATGTCAAAATAATTTAGTTCTTTTCATTAAAAGTATCCCGATATTTAAAATGCCATGAGTGGCAATGCTGTAAAGTCATTGGAAATGATCTTCAATTACACTTTTCGTTGATTAAACATAAATAATTTATTCTATTGTCAAGAATTCCTTTCTGTAAGCTTGCATGTTGTAAGGCGGTGAGTAAGATTAAATAAGTGATCTTTTGCAGGTGACAAAAATTATTTTGGCTTTTTCCTAAAGCCCAATAGGAAGCCTTATTGTTACAACATAAAATGACCAGTAAGTTTTTCAATTAAAAAGTATTTACAGAGGTCATGGACATCGTGTTTAAAATGTAATATGGTTGCTGCAATGTTAGAATAGGTTAATAAACCTGATATTAAAATCGACCAATCACTCAAACCTTTCTTAACACCTGGAACTGAGTCTAAATCTGTCTTCACTTCCATGTTCATCCACTTCAACGTCGAGTCCACGTCTCCGCAACTACGGTTTCCAATAATAAAACGAACTACACTTTTTTTTCTACACACTAATGCCACGTTTTCGCCAGCATGATGAACGATGCGTAATGAAGCGTCAAAAATTTCCGAGTCATATCCAGTGTTTATCAGGATTATAGGCAAGTTAAATTTTTCGGTTTCAACAGAATAAGTCTCAATCACCAGCTTTGATTTGTCAAAGAAAAAACCTGTGACACTGTTGGAGACGGGAGTATAAATGACTTCATTGTATGAATTAATTTCGTCTTTGTGTGGTTGAAATTTTTTTTTTTTAACAAATTTTCCGTCCATCGTACTAATGATAATTCGGTAAGTTTTGGGTGATTTATAAGTCAAAATGACTATGTTGTCGTCGGAGGAAATGGACAAATATTTCATTTCATCATCAATTGGTTTACGTTTACCCTTTGCTACAAATGGCTTATTAAGGCTTCCTTTACTGTCACACACATGCATCATGATGTAGTTTTGATCCTTCTTGACTGTAGCAACAGCAATGATAATATTGCTATTTGGTGCTACAGCAAGAAAAATCTTACTAACTTGTATTACTTCAGGAAAGGACAAGGAACATTTTGAACAATTTTGTCTTCCAAACAAAGCAACAATGTATAATCGCTATTCGATTTGTCTTTGCAACCCAAAAGTACATATACTACGCCATTTTCATCAACGTTCATGCATCTTACTTGCCTATTTTGAACATCTGACCTTTGAAACGTACACCAGGTTTCAAACACTTCGGTTTTGCTGTTAAATTTTTTGGAGTTCATTTCCATCAAAAATTAGTAATTCTCCTTCTTTGTTTACGACCATTTCCTCATTAAAGAGGTCAGTATTCTTAGTAAAGTGAGCTGAGTACCAAGGTAATGAGGTAGTCGTGTTTTGTTAAACCTTCTTGAAATAAAAAGGATGAACCAGCTGCCCATTATATTGAATCTGGGGCCATTTTAAAACAGACATCCTTTTGTTTGTGTGCTTAAAGATGAAATTAGCCAACGCCAAGTTGATATCTATTACTATGTCAAGGACTTCAGTCACTATATAGTTGTGTGTGTTTTGGCTTTTATTCCCGCAAAAATCGAGGAGTTTAAATCTTTCAGACATAACATGAAATCCCTTGTTGCTAACCCGCAGTTATCTGAATGTTCAAGAATAGCGCTTGCAATACGTATCTTGCTTGCTTTTATTTTCTCTTTAGTGCTCGACGAATCATTTTCAAACGTCTCTTTCGCTTTTTCTCCGGCTAATTTAAAACGCGTTCGACATGATAGAGATAAGTTTATTGTTGTTACCTGTGTCGATGACGATGTTTCATTTGCAGTCGACTCTTGAATGCGTTTCAGCTCTTCAACTCCTATCTGAAAGTGAATGAAACTCTGACGAAGATCATTTTCCGGTTTATCGTATGTTTCCTTTAATTTATCGTATGTTTCCTTTAATTTATCGATAAATGCATCCAAAAAATGCATTCCATTTCGGCCTTCCCCGACATCCACAACTATGCTCAAAGCTGATTTTATTATTGCTTCCATCACTAAAAGAGTTACGCTCAAAGAGAAGCTAAATATACCCAAAGATTATAACGTCTTTTAAAGCTACTAAAGCATATGAACATGAACACCAAAATTAAACCAAAAGTCGCAGATACGTGGCAAGAAATTAACTTTAGAAAGTATTGAACTGCGTCACCAGACAAATGGCGTCACGCAAGTGTTGCTTTGGAATGGAATTTAAATTGCAAATACATACAATTATTTAAGGTTTGCCGTAGTCATCGACTTATCGAGTTTATCTACAGCACTATTCGTCAAAATATTTGGCAATCATAATTTTTGTCTGCTGAGAACATCAATACCTGGAAAATATAATAATGATCTGCATGGAATTGAAATTTGCAAAAATTACAACTATCTACAACAAATACTCTAGGAATGTTAGAATCTTATGTAAAAATTTTTGGCGTCACGCTAGCAATGTGTTACACACCCATGACGTTGGCAAACTAACGTTTTATTGGGAAATTTGCAGTATATAAATATGGGTAAGACGCGGAAGTAAGCGTAACAAGTAAATTCTTTCTCACTAGCTAAGAAAAGTATAACGAGATGTTGCTGTAACTCTGAATTCCAATAAACGTTTACATATTTTGGTAAATCATCAAATTATTGAAATATAAAGTCTTCCATATCAGTTTATAATATTTTCAACAACCAGAAAATCATATAGCGTTCCAGCTGTAGAGTGATTTTCAACTTTCCATTGAGATATCACCTTTTCGAAAGGATTTTCAGGCTTTTGTTTATCAAAGAAATTTTCGATTTGTTCATGTTTATGTCCTGGTGGCACGCCAGACGTTCCAAATCTTCTGTTTACACTGTTTGAAAACGAAAATCGTTTTTTAAGGCGTATTGAATAAATTTTTCATACTCAACGTAGCAAACAAAGCACATTGTGCAAGGTTATGATTACATGTACTGTTTTCTTTCTATACTGTAAAGCTCCACCAACACTAACACTAGGGCGACGCAAAAATCACGCTCACTCTTATTAATAGCAAAATCATTTTTCCATGGATCGCATTATATTTGTTTAATAAAAGATATCAAAGGAAGAAATTAGTGGAGTGAAAATATCATCTTTGAATAATTATTTTCTTCATCATCATTACATTTATAAGGACCTGTAAAAAAAAGGGCAAATCTAAGATTATAAAATGCATAAAAAATTTGATATTACATTCATTTATTGTAGTTGTTACAATTAATAATTTATACAGACTCCTACCTGTGCAGCCAACAGGAAGTTTGTCTCTCATCCAACGGGCAACATCGTGATTTTTCGTTGGAAGTTCTCGAAACAGAAATCTTATCTTCTTTTCTTTTAATTTATCAATCAAATCAGCAGTGATGAATATTCAACCTATATGGGGCTATTGTCGGCATAGCGACAGAGACATATCATCGATAATGATCAGAAAGCCGGCCGGTACTGGAGGTACCTGCAAGCTGGCATCTATTGAGTTCTATAATAACTGGAGCGACTATCTCTAACACGGCTTTAATTAGCGGCTGACGCCAAAAAAATGGAGAATTTGTTCCATTACTGCTGAGATTTACCGAAATTGACTGCTTTTCTGAAAATCACACAATTTGTCTCTACCCCTTAAGAAAGAACGAGGAAAAAGTATTTGTGTTTTTTGCATATTTGGCAAGCATTTTAAGAAGAAAATCACTGTAAAGCATAAATTTCATAAAGCGAGTCTACTGTGGTTGCCAGTTGTCGGCTTCTCTGACGTAAGAATTTTATAACTATTGACGAACGAGCTATTTGTTGGCCACATATGAATGCAGATGTGCGGTTTGTAACTGTCGTTCAATGATTTGCTCGATATCAAAGTGTATGGTCCGCACGAAACAAAATATATCATATTTTAGCTCAGCGGATCACGAGAGAAATGTTAGCTCGTTTATTATCATTAGTTTTTTGCTTTCTTTCATGTGATGACCTTTTTTCGCAACAATTGTAGGATTTGTTTTTGTACATGCATCTCGCGTTTCGTAAATGAATAATGAAAAAAATATTGTATACAAATCACGAGAGCCTTTGAGATCTTTGTGATCATCTGAACAAGAACTGCATAAATACTTGTCAAGTTGTAGCATACTTGATTTCGTTGTAATGATTGTGAAATGGCGAAAATGCAAATAATTAAAACACTTAAATTACAATAGTGTTTATAACACTTGAATACATGAATACTTAATTGTGCATTTAATACTTCTCTTCTTTTTCTCTTTTTTATGTGCTTCCTATTAGCCACGAGAGTTCAAAATTTGATTGACTAATAAAGCTTTCAAAGAGCAAGAAATCATAAAGTTTTTTTCACATTGTTTATTATCGTTCGAGTCATTCGTAGTCAAATACTACCAAAACAACCTTAACATTCCTAATATTCCACTTTACCACAACCATCAATTTTTAACACCACCCCATTAAGAACTACTTTCAGATATAAAATATATAGTTGGTAAAAACACTTGAGAAAAACGACGATTTTTTTGAGAGCAAACATGTTTCGACATTATCAGAATGCCATCTTCAGTGCAGAATGATTAGTGTTAAGTAATATGATACATAATATGATATGAGTAAATTAATTACAATGAGTATTAAGTATTAATAACTATAACGTAAGTTCTAAAAATAAGTATTAAGAATTTATAACAAAAATATTATTATAAAGTAAATATAGTGTTGTAGTGGTGAACTTGGATATTTAAATCGGGATTAGTTTTATTAATGTGTAGAGCTTCCTTGATTTTGAGTGAGAAAGTGGATTGATCAGTGTCGATGATTTTAAAACAGGAAGGTGAGAATTTGTTTTACATGAAGAGAGGCTTGAAGATGTTTGTAGATAGTGGAGTTTTGTCTGTGTGAGTATGTTCCTTTATCCTGGTAGATAATTGGCGAGAAGTTTCACCAATATAGCGGGAATTACATCCCGCACATGAAAATTGATAAACTACCATAGATTTGGAAAGTTCGGGAAGTGGGTCTTTAAACGAAAATAAAGATTTTATTTTGAAAGATGTGAAAATAAGTTTAACGTCAATGTCAGTGCAGTAGCGTTTAATGATTTGTGTGAGTTTGCGTTGTGTGTGTCGTGAGTAATCACCTATGTAAGGTAGTTTGAAATAACGTTTATTGTCAGGTTGTTGTATATCGTTAGTGTTAGTTGTGGAGTTAGATGAGTCAGTGCTTTTCTTGTTGTCCAAATAGTGTTGTATAGTGTTGTTGATGAAATGAAAAGGAAAAGAATTACGTTGGAGAGTGAATATTAGTTTCTTTAAATCACGTTGAAAGCCGATGTCTGTGTTGTTAAGTTTCCGTGCTCTGTCGGTCAGTGTTCGTATCAGTCCAATTTTGTAATTTAATGGTGTGAAACTAAAAAAGTTAGTCAGTAGTCCTGTATATGTTGGTTTGTGGTACGTAGAGGTCATACAGTTTTCATGTGATTTAGTTAGTAAGATGTCAAGAAAGGGTAACTGATTGTCTTGTTCGGTTTCGTATGTAAAGTTTATGCTTTGATGTTGTTTGTTGATGTATTCGTAAAAGAGTAATGCTTCGTCTTTGTTATGAAAAATACAAAAAATGTCGTCAACGTATCTGCGGTAAAATAAAGGTTTGTTGTTGCTGTAGTTATTTAACCAGTTTCGTTCGTGAAAACCCATGAAAATGTTGGCTAGAATGGGTGCCAAGGGTGAGCCCATACTTACCCGTCAATTTGGTCGTAGTACTTACCGTTAAATAAAAATGAGTCTCGGCCGTAGTGATGTTAAACAATAGTTTTAGTTCTGTTCTGCTCATTTTGAATGTAGGGTTGTTGGTAAAATTAAATCAATAGCAATGTCTATGGTTTCGGTCAGTGGTATGTTGGTAAAAGGCTTTCAACGTCAAAAGAAATAAAGAATTTGTCATGTGGAGCGTTAGTGTTAAAAGATAAAAATCATCGACAAAACTAAAAGAATCTTTAGCAGAATGGTCATTAGGTATTAGGGGTTGGAGTAAAGAGCTGAGGTATTTGGCTAATTTGTAGTTATACGAATTGATTGAAGAATTTATAGGTCTGATAGGAGGTATGTCATTGATATTGTTTAATTTATGAAGTTTAGGTAAACCATATAATCGAGCTGGCTGTGAACCTCTAGGGTACATTTCTTGAAATGATTTTTCGTTAATAGAGTTTTTCTTTAAGTTACGTAGCAGTCGTTGTAACTTTGCTTCACGGGAAATTGTAGGATCATGATCGAGTGGTTTGAACTTAGATAAATTGTTAATTATAGTGAGGCAAGAGTTAATGTATACCTGACGATCCATAATGACTACACCATTGCCTTTGTCAGGTTTAAGAACAATGATTTTGTCATTATTACGAATGTTCCTTAGAATTTTATGTTTCTTCAGGTCTTTAGGAGTTGGATGGTAGGAAGTTACGTACGTGTGTGCCAAGTGACCAAGTTCCGTTTTAGTATTGAATAGTCCTCTTGTTTGATAAGTTTATTTCTTAATGAATAGTGGATTCGTTCGAATGTTGCCAAAATGTCGGAGGAGTGGATTTTTGGAGGTTTGATGCTGAAGTTGAGACCGTTTTTTAGAGCGTTAAGTTCATCTTCACTTAGCTTTACAGATGATAGGTTGGTGACAGTGTCTTTATGAGTGAATGGTATAGCCTTGTTTTTGGTCAAATTATTTAGTTTCTTACGGTGTGTCGAAAATATTTTGTTCAGTTGTTTGTCGACATTCTTTTTGAGGGCTTTATTCAAGATATGCCAGTCAATTGGGTTAAGAAAGCTTTTGATTTCTTCTGTTTTGTTCGTCAGGTCCCTATCCAGTGTCCGTAGTTCTTTAGATCTCTTCGTTATCGTAGTTCGTAGTAAACGCTTTCGAATGTGGTATGTATCTCGATTGTCAACATTAGGTAGTGGAAAACACAGGAACTTTGGAAAAACTCCAAGTGAATTGCAATCTTTAAGGAAGGCGACATCAAGTTCAGCCTTGCGTTTCTTAGTTGTAAGCTTTCATAATTTCGAAAATCGACAAGGAAACCTTTCCATGAGAATTTTGTGCTAAGTCGTAGATAATATTACCATAATTTCTAATTAGCAGCAATTTTAAAAAACACTTGAGAAAAACGACGATTTTTTTGAGAGCAAACATGTTTCGACATTATCAGAATGCCATCTTCAGTGCAGAATGATTAGTGTTAAGTAATATGATATGAGTAAATTAATTACAATGAGTATTAAGTATTAATAACTATAACGTAAGTTCTAAAAATAAGTATTAAGAATTTATAACAAAAGTATTATTATAAAGTAAATATAGTGTTGTAGTGGTGAACTTGGATATTTAAATCGGGATTAGTTTTATTAATGTGTAGAGCTTCCTTGATTTTGAGTGAGAAAGTGGATTGATCAGTTTCGATGATTTTAAAACAGGAAGGTGAGAATTTGTTTTTACATGAAGGAGAGGCTTGAAGATGTTTGTAGATGTTTGTAAAAAACGGAACTTGGTCACTGGCACACACGTACGTAACTTCCTACCATCCAACTCCTAAAGACCTGAAGAAACATAAAATTCTAAGGAACATCCGTAATAATGACAAAATCATTGTTCTTAAACCTGACAAAGGCAATGGTGTAGTCATTATGGATCGTCAGGTATACATTGGCCCGATTTATACTAGAGACGAATCATCCGTCTGGACGAACTTGGGCAAGAAAAACATAGTTCGTCTTTAAGTTCGTCTGTGTTTAAATACGGGCAAACAGACGGATCATCCTTCAAGACGAATTATCAGAATAGTTCGTCTGTTTAGACGAATTTGCATGGGTAGTTCGTCTTGACGCATCATCCGTCTGTGAGTATAAATGCGTACTGTGGACGAACTACCAAAACAAATGATACTTCGTTACTCACTGTTAGCGGATTTCACCCATAATAGTCAATATGGCGGATAGAAGCAATGATCGTGTTCATGAAATGGTTCATGATTCGAACAAGAAAAATAGGGCTAAGAAGGAGCGAGTTTGGACCGAAACTGAATTAAAATACTTTGCAATTGTACTAGCAGATGAAAAGAAACAGTATGCTGTTCAATTAGAAACGCTAGCATTAAAGAAGTCTGCAAACTTGTGTGTTTATGAAGAAATTGCAAAAGATCTTGAAACATACCTAAAATCTGACGAATTCAAAGAAGAAAGCAAACGTGAAAGAGAAAATTTGAAACGAAAATTGAAAGATACCCCCTTGGAAATTACTCCAGCTAGGCTCCGAGTTAAGTATAAGTTTCTTAGAAGTCAGTGGCGAAAATTTACAGATCGTGTTAAAAAGGGAAGCGGAAAGGCACCGATTGTTGAGCCAGAGTGGTTCACCATCATTAATCCAATATTTTCTGATACCATGGGAGATGCAGATGTTGCTTCCTGTAGTGGTGATGTTCTGTTATCTTACGAATCAGACAATTCATTGTCAGACTCAGACAAGGAGGATGAGACAGTTGATAGACCAGATACACCTTTTAGTAATACCAGCGGCCTTAGCATTGAAGCAACTGATAATAGTGGCGATGATGATGTACTAGAAGCCAGTACAAACAGTAGCTCCAGCAGTAACACCAAGGGGAAACATAAAGCTAAACTTGAAATCAGACCTTTTTTCAAAAAGAGTAAAAGCCAAGCACAAGCAATTCAGAATATGGCCAAGTCTTTTTCTGATATGGGAGAGATGCAACAAAAGCGTTCAGAGTTATTTTCTGAAGCTGAAAAGAAAAGGCAACAGGAGTTCTTAAATTTTCAAAGAGAACAAGCAGAGCTCAACAGGCAACACGAAATAAAGATGTTGGAAATGATCATGAAGTACAGTAGACCTTATCAATCAGAAGCCCCACATCTTCGCCCTCCAAATATCCAGATTGCTCACCAGCAGTCTCCTCACAACATGTATCCCTATGGTGGTTTTAATTTCAGTCAACTTGAATCCGAAGTACAAACCACACATGACGGTACCACAAGTCTAGGTATGCCAATGTCAAATCAGCATAACCAACCTTGGTATGAACGTAATTAAGTTAAGTGAAAACAGCAGTGTATTAACTACATGGTCAGCATCAACAATTAAATAGTATAGTTTAGTTGTCAATTCCAAAGATTTGATGTTGTTTGTTTTTATTTTTCTGTGTTATAAAACTGAATCAATAATGTTAATTGAGTGTCAAAGTACCTATATATTGATGACAAATTGTGCAAAATGCATGGAAACATTTAATTTACTTGTATATGCTTGTTAATTGGATGTTAATTGTGACTTTGAAATATCAATGTAAAATATTCCTTTATTTGATTTTATTAATATTTTGATGCTGATATTTTTCTGTTTTCATGTAATACAAAAATATTGATATTTTTCCATTAAGTGAACACATTCCAGTATATTTGTGTACAATGTATACATTGTACACAAATCAGAATGCCAGATGTATCATTGATTAAAATGAATTTTTTTTTGAAGGAAACAAATTTACAACAAATTTACAAGTATATTGTATAGGTATTTAACTTCATCAATAAACGTGAGTCTTACACTAAATGTTAATTTTCCCTGAGTTTTCCAGCTAAATACAAGTATATGTTTTATTCTGGTTAGGTTTCTTCTCTGTGTGAGAGTTAACTTTTGTAATAGTCTCTCTGGCAACAAACTACTGGCAGATGAGAAATAGCCAAATGCTTGAAAGACAGTTTGGTTAGTGATGCACCTCACTGAGGAAAATGCATATTAGAAGATGACTTATGTTGTAACAACAACAGATTTTTATGAAACACAAAAGCAAAAATTGCTAAACTATTAAACTATTAAAACTTATTCATAATTTATATGGCTCTTTCTTGCCGCAATATCCATAGCCAATTAGATATCATGCATCTTACATCTTCAGCTGCATTTGTTGCTTGGCCAGATCCACGAATGAGATTTAGCTGGTTTACTTCAAGGCGCCATCTGGGCTTACATGGATCATTTCTGTCAATGCAAATGTTATGTAGCAAAATGCAAGTCATGATTAATATTTGAATATTATCCAAATGACATTCTGTCTTCTTGTACAAGATTCGCCATCTACCTTTAAGCATCCCATATGCATGCTCGGACACAACTTGGGCAGAACAAAGCCTCCTGTTGAAGTACCTTTTTTGGGGTTCTCGCATTCCTTCTTTGTATGGCTTAAGCAACCACGAGTGGGATGGAAAGGCTGAATCACCAACAGTTGTAAGTGGTATTTCTCCATAGGGTTGTAGGTTCAGTGATTTTTTTGGCAGCACTTTGCCATGTTCAATTTCTGAGTATACTTCACAATTCTTTAAAAGCCTTGAATCATGAGTTGAGCCAGGTGCACCTACTGCAGCAAACATAAACCTTTTATTATATCCAATAAACCCCATATTAGTAACAGAATATCGCTTCTTGTAACTATAAAAATTCTTCAATCTACTCAACATATACATGAAAGCCATCCCATGCCCAAACATGGAAACTCCCAATTTTCAAGAAACCCTTGAGTTCCGTGTCCATTCATCTATTGTCTTTGGTAGGTAAATAAACCTGTCATACAAGATCTTGACCAGCACTTTGCAAACGTCCATGAAGATGCAATAAGCAGTCGATGCAGCAACACCAAATAAATCTCCTACTGTTAGATAGGTAACTCCATGTGCCAAACGATACAAACAAATTGCCAATTGTGTATCAAGAGTTGTTGGATGGGGTTTCATTCGAGTTAGTTGTTTAACAATTTCGTGACCACTTTGTTGAAGAAAATCAAACGTCGCAGGAGACACTCTGAAGCAGCTCTTGATGCTGCATCACCCAAGATTGATAGCCTTCAGACCACCAAGTATTTCTCCTGCG